GTCTATTCATGTCTTTTGTCCATTTCTTCACTGGATTATTTGTTTTTTGGGTGTTGAGTTTGATAAGTTCTTTATAGATTTTGGATACTAACCCTTTATCTGATATGTCATTTGCAAATATCTTCTCCCATTCTGTCGGCTGCCTTTTAGTTTTGCTGATTGTTTCCTTCACTGTGCAGAAGCTTTTTATTTTGATGAGGTCCCAGTAGTTCATTTTTGCTTTTGTTTCCTTTGCCTCCAGAGACATGTTGAGTAAGAAGCTGCTGCAGCCAAGATCAAGGAGATTTTTGCCTGCTTTCTCCTCAGGAATTTGATGACTTTCTGTCTTATGTTTAGGTCTTTCATCCATTTTGAGTTTATTTTTGTGTATGGTGTAAGAAAGTGGTCCAGGTTCATTCTTCTGCATGTTGCTGTCCAGTTTTCCCAGCACCACTTGCTGAAGAGACTGTTTTTATTCCGTTGGATATTCTTTCCTGCTTTGTCAAAGATTAGTTGGCCATAAGTTTGTGGGTCCATTTCTGGGTTCGCTATTCTGTTCCATTGATCTGAGTGTCTGTTTTTGTGCCATGAGGAAATTTTTTTAAAAATGCAGTTTCCTGGATCCCAACATACACTAGTGGCACCCAGATCTCTGGAAATGGGAACAAGTCTCAGGAACTGACATTTAGCATGCTGCCCTGGTCATTCTTTTTCATGCTGAAGCTTGAGAACTGCTTTAGGAGAAGAGCCAATAACGTGGCTAAGACATTTAACTATGAGATTAACTTCTGAAAGCCATCCACTCTAACACTCTAATGACCAGAGTTGCAAAAGTGGCAACTCGTACACATTTGACTGCAGCCCTCAGGGAAGAGTTTCTTTTACTGGCTGACAACACAACCCAGGTAAACGGAGACTGGTCCAGTTCCATTGCTAGTTTTCGAGATGCCTTTGTGCAAGACACCCTCAAAGGCTCTTCACTGCCATCTGCAGGAAAGTAGTTGTCATAATTGTATTAATGAAAGGCATCTAGGTATGTGAGGGATGCCAGGACCCTTCAATGCGGTTCCTTGGGCAAAGCTGGCATAGCCACGTACCATGCCCAGGGGAGGGAGAGCAGCTAGCTTCCAGGTGTTGCGGTTCAAGAACTTGTTCCATAGCTCCTGATTAAAACACTGAAGCTGGAGCACCTGGGTGGTCAGTCAGTTAAGCATCTAACTTCTGCTCAGGTCACGGTCTTGTGGTTCGTGAGTTTGAGCCCCACATTTGACTCTGTGCTCTCAATGTAGAGCCCACTTTGGATCCTGTCTCTCTCTCTCTCACACACAAAAGTAAACATTAAAAAAATATATATTTTTGAAAAATGAAAACACTGAAGCCATTCTTAACTCCATAGACACAGGTCCTGTGACACTCCCTGATGAAGAACATACACATTGTTTGTTGCAGGTGTAAAGTAACCAGAAAAAAGGTGGGGGATTTAGTTCGCCCTGGGCACATGGCTTTCTCATTTGCAATGTGAGTTCCTTACAGATGATTTTATGAGGAGGGGGACAAAATGTTCCTAGAGCAGTAATTATCAGAAGGAGGGAGACTCCATTATCGCCTGTGCTGTATCTTCAGGTACTGATACCCGCTCTCCTCGGTGACTTCAGGAGGAAGGTTCTTGCCCTTAGCTCCACCTGAATCGCTGTCACCTTCGGCCTTCCCGAGGAAGGGGTCACAACCCAGCAGCAAGTCAGCCATGGAAGAGGAGGAAGAAGAAGTGGGTTGTGGGAGGAAAAGGGGAGGAACAGACCAGTAGCTTGAAGTTTTGACATAGCTCTTGAGAACAGTTTTGCTTTTGAGACTTTGAACAGAAGCACCTCCTTCTCTCTGTTAGGAATATCTTTTACTCTCAGCCACACTACTACGTCATGGCTCTCAAGTCATACCTTTCCCGGCTTCTAAACAGGATGCCATTGTCATCTCTGGACCAGCATCCCTTTCTCCTGCTTCCCTGTCTCCCCTTGTCTGCCAGGCTGCCCCATAGGTGCAGGCCTCACCTCCCTGAGCAACTCCTCTGAACCCCCAGACAACATTTGGCCCCTGGTCTCTTCTCTCCCAGTGGCCCTTATGCGTGAATTTCTCTGGCTGTAAGGGTTTTCATGGTTGATTAATTAGAAATATAACTGTCCTCTGCAGATAGATATTGCCTCTAACAGGAGTTGTTGCCACCATCTTTTTTTCATAAAGGATACCTCTTTCCTAAAAGGCATAAGCATATATATTTGCTTAAAGTTTAAAGGATGGGAACAAAGGTGGTGGTGGTGCTGGGAAAAGAAAGCCCCCTAGCCTAGGATGAGGTTTGATAGCACTCTATTTGCAACATAGGGAGATAATTTTGATATCATGAATCTTAAACCCTCTTTCCCAATTCCATCTCTTTCCATTCATATATTTTATAATCAAGAAGCTATTTTATAGCCCTTGTTTTTTTTTTTAAACATGTGTTTGTTTGGAACGTAAGAGCCCTACTCTTGCAAATGAGAACAGAACCTGTCTGTGGACTGCAACACGTGAACTTGGAGAATGCAAACCTCACTCACTAGATTATGTCTTGTTAAGTACAGTAACTGCGCCTCCCACAATAATCCTATGAATCCTATGAATGTATAATGTGTACCACATCTCAGGCCCCCACAGCCCCTGAGCCACAGACAGGCCACTTGCTGGCGGTTCTGACACTGCCACGGTAAAAGTAACAGGAAAACGAGCCCAGGGCAAGTGCCTGTTGCTACAGTCATTCCGTCCACCACGGCTCCAGAACATTCTCGCTCCCGCTCGGAGTTGTTCATTGGCTTCTAACTTTCTTTCCACGGCAGGAATCCTCATCATGATGTCCATGTGCAGCGAAGTGCACGTGTATGAATACATCCCGTCCATCAGGCAGACGGAGCTGTGCCACTACCACGAGCTGTACTACGACGCGGCCTGCACGCTCGGCGCGTACCACCCGCTGCTCTACGAGAAGCTGCTGGTGCAGCGGCTGAACACGGGCGCCCAGGGGGACCTGCACCGCAAGGGGAAGGTGGTCCTGCCGGGGCTCCGGGCGGTGCGCTGCCCTGCGCCCAGGCGCGTCGGTCCGCACTCTTGAAGAGGGGCTCTTGAGAGCCCATGTGCAATAAGGTACTACTGTCGTACTCTGAGTCCCAGAAGAATACTTGAAGATATATTTTAGGCAATGTAGTCTTCAGTCTTTAGACTGTAATTTAGTGGTGGCCGCGAGAATTCCTCTTTTTCTAAGCCATTGAGTATTTCTTACTACTTTGAATACAGAAATGGAGTTTAAAAGGAAAAAGCTCAAGAAAGATGCAAAAAAAAAAAAAAAAAAAAAAAAAAAAAAGAAAAAAGCAAATGTGTGACGAATGGGTACTATACCTCCAGAAATGTTAGCCTTTTCTTATGCCGTGGGCACCCCTTATCAGGGTTGGTTTCAGCTACAGGTTTCTTTCCATGATATACCTGATACTATGAAATGGTTTATACACCCTTGTCAAGGTACGGTATCTATAGCACCTAATGTGTCCCTTGTACATTCATTCGTTATTAAATACCCTAGAGATTATGACGACCATCTGAATTATCACTCAGATGTGTTTAACAGCAGAATCCCCAGTATATGTTGAGAGGTGCACATGTTCCCCAACTGTTGCATATTCCCCAGCTCCATTTCCCATTGCCCACTGAATTTTTGCTTTGTTTCTAAAACCATAAAGCATCCATCTCAAGCAGTCCAAGAAAAAGCCACTCCTGGAATAGCACTGCAAAGGAGACACTTTGTTTTCCTGCAGTATTTTCTTACTCTGGCAAGTAGACACAGAATCACTGGGCTGGCTGCAGGGTGGCCCGGGACCAGGATGTTCCCAGCTCCAGCCTTTGCGCACTGTACCTCCTCGGCTGCCAGTTCTCACAGCCCTTACGCTGTTACACTCAAGACACTTGTGACCCCCTTGTCCGTGAGGAAGGGCTCCTTCCAATCTAGAAGGAGAATTTCGGAGCCTTCATTCTGTGCTTCTGGGGATGCACACCTGTCTCTTTCATGGGGATTTCTTTCAGGTCAATATCAGCTGCTGGAAACCTAGCAGTGATGTTCTGGATTTTCACTAATTCTCCCTACAGACAGACAGTGAGGAACCCTGCCCCTGTTTTCACAGATATATTTTATCTCAGCAACACACAAGCCACATAATTAAGTAAAATTGTGTGAAAAGGTTGCTCTTTAACAAGAAGGAAAATACCTACATGCTTGAGAGGCAACAGCTCATAGAGGGGAGGAAGGTGTCACCCCAGTGCATTAACTGTATTCGGTTCTGTTTTCTTTTGGTTTTAATCTCAGCTTTTGTCACTGATACATTGAAAAACAGGTTTTTTTGCTATGAATGTAGTGAAACAGAAACATTTTGGAATACCTTAATTAAACATGCTATCTCTCTATATAACCGAAACATTTTTCAGCAGTACACATAAGACTTCTTTTCATTAAAAATCTGTTCTCCCTTGCAAGCATGTAGATGTCAAGAGAGTTTTGTGGGAAAGTTTTTTTTTTTCTTTTTTCTTTTTTGTTCCAGGATTGGTTTTTTTCCTGAGTGCTTTCAAAACTACTTTCTTGAGCAAGAATGGTTTATAGAAATTGACAGCTTCTGTTTGGTTAGGCTAACTCCCCAGAAATCAGGTTAGGTAATAGACATCTCCTATGGCTTATTATGATAGTGAAGTGTAGGAATAACTGAAAAGTTTTAATCATGACAGTATCCACTAAAAGCCTATTTTTAGAACTTTCTTTCTTGAACTATGAAAATAGATTCATAATTTTATCCTACACATTAGCTTATGTGTGAGCAGACATGGTCAAGCCACTTTTCTCTCTGGTTTCCTAAAAGAGCTTAGTTTTGTCCCCATGTGGAATAAGGAGTTCAGTGACTGGATGCTGGTGAGGTAACTCTGATCACGGTGAGTGAGCAGTCCTCCTGTGGCCTTGGTTCTCCCTGGACCTTCCAGGCTCTGCCTTCAAATGCCCATGACATTGAAGTTCCTTTGATAGCCTTCGTGGTGGATTTCCTTCTGACCTTCTTTTTATATAGGACAACCCCCTTCAGTGACATAAGAGCTTGGCTAAAGGAAAATTTATCGGGGTCAATATAAATATTCAAGTTCAGAAGCCCCAGAAAACACTTCAAAGATTTTTAAATAGCATTTTGTTGTAACGCGTGTACTTTAAAAAGTCCTTTCAGTCTCACTGAGGTTACAAGAAAGACTGAAGAGCATAAAGGAAATTTAATTAAAATTTTTGAATTTATTATGGCCTTAAAGACTCTTGGGAATCAGGGTCTGTTAAACATTCAGAAAATGTGGTACACATATTAATATAGCATGGCTGGGCATTCTTCTGTTTGAAAGTTTAAATTGTTTAGCCTCTCAAAAATATCAGGCAGTTATAGTTAACATGATGACTGCATCTGGTATTAGCTAAATTGGTCCTAAGTGGTAGTATTTTGCCAGACATTGATTAAGTCCTTCTAGGCTACATTTACTGAACTGCAATAAACACACAGCTCTTCTGTGGAGTAGTTAACAATAAATGCTGTCCTATTACATTTCTCCCAGGCTCTGTCCCTTCTAAAATGCTCCATCCACTTCTGGAAGGGACACTGATAAAATCCTTAAGGTGCAACCTGAAGCCATTATCTTCAATTGAAGATAATTTCAGGAGATCTTTGGTGGTGGTGGTTGTTATCACAAAGAAACAAATGTTGACCAAGAATGACAAGGCACCTTTATCTAGATTTTCCCTGACTAGTTTCCCCAGTTCCTCTACCAGGTATGAGGATGGGGTTTAATAGGTGTTGAAAGCTCACTGTCCCCAGGGAATACCAGTGCCAGCCCTGCGTACCTGACCTTTCTTCCAGCCCAAGTCCTTAACAAGGCTGCTTTTATTGGGAACTTTTGTGCATAGGCCAAGAGGTGGTCAATTAAAAGTTGCATATATGCACCATGCAACATCAAGGGCATGTATTAAAATGAATATAAAATGTATTAAAAGTGAGGGACTTTTGCACATCTTCCAATTATTGGGTCTTTCCTTGTCTGCCTGTATGTAGAACTCCAGGAGCCCTGCGTCAGTCACAACTCTTCCAGTGTGTCCTGCCCTAGGTCTCTGAGCCAGACATTTAATCAATCCTGAACTCACCAGTAATAATCTGTCATTGTAGCCATAGTGTCTGGACAACGCAATGCTGAAATAATCGTTAGCATTTTCAAAATTGGGAAATAAAAGTAACAGTTTGAAACTACCATGGGATTGCTCTGTTACGTGTTTATGAGCCAGTTCCTTCCAGTGGAACAGATTAATACCTTATGTTGTTAGCTGACCCTTCCGGGCAGGAACACGTACATCCACTGAATTAATTAGGTCTAGGTCCTGTTTGGCTGCATTAAGTGGGATCAGTCTCACGTGAGTAATGGCATATGATGGAAGCATTTTTTATGCACAAGTGGCATGATTCAAGTTCTCTCTCCAGCCTGTCTTAGAGATCAACACACAGTGCATGTTCAAGGCTGATAGGTAGAGTGACCTGGTCTCATTTCTGCTCAACTATGAGAAGAGGCAGAGAGGGAGGTAGGGAATTATCGAGAAATCCATGACAGGCCAAATAGTCTCTGAATATATTCTGATACTCTGTCACATTATCTGATTCGACTTCCCACTTTCTGATAGGTTAGAACTCTTTCTCAGTTGTGACAGCCGACGAAGGCAGCTACATTTAGAAGTTAACTGCTTAGGTAAAATGTGCTTGCGTTCAAACTTGTTTCTTTTTATACTCTGGACATTTCCTTTGTGAAAATATTCTGCATGTTCTTGTCACTTGGGCATTATTTACACAATTGGTAAATGAAAGGTATCTCTCTGTGAATTCAAGGATAAAATGTAAGTTCTGATTCTTGTTTTCTTAAATAAATGAAGCCTTTTAGTAAGACGTAATAATCCAGCATACTCCTCTACAAGCTTGGAATGATAGAATTTAAAGAATTAAAGACATTTCTATAGTTCTTACTTTTGTTACAAAAGTGTGCATGTAGATATAGTTATATAATTGTATATATACGTATCTACACACATGTTGGTTTTATATTGTCTTTTTTCATCAAACTTTTCCTAAAACCTTTACAACCAATTTTATTTTAATTATGCAAACGCCAGTGTTTTAATAGAAAAACGTAAATGTTATATGTCCTTCTATTAAAAAAAAAAATTCAGTCTTCCCACACACTGATATTTTACACACCCTGGGTATGTTAAAAAGTATGGCAGAAATATTTAAAAGGCACTATGCAGGTAGAACCCTGAACACTGTGGCCTCATCAGAATGTGATGCTGAACATTGATGAGAAGGTTATTTATTATATAGCTCATGGCTTTTACAAGGTTAGGGGCAAAAGTGAATATTGGCTTCGTGGAAAATAATCTTCTTACCAGGTAGGTTTCACACAAATTAACTGCACTGATAGTGCTAACACCTAACATTTCTGATGCCGCACATCTTGTTCTACTCCAGATAAAACACGTATGACATTTTTCCGGTGGGAACCAGTGAACTTTTTTAACAGCTTTGGGAATTTTTTTGTATGATAATTTTTAAACTGGAATGTGTACCCTTCAAACTAATGAAGGCCTGAGGTTTTTCCAGGAGTCACATTTTAAAAGTGTTTGTATACATTTTAACACCTTTGATATTTTCTATTTTGGTTTTGTATATTTTTATGTATACACAGTGTACAGACTTTTTTCTTGTAAATAAAACATGTTTTCATTTGTCTAGAAGTTTCTGTGTTTTAATTTGTAAAAGTCACGGATACAAATGAGCGACCGGCAGAATCCCGAGCCATCCCTAGGAGAGGGCGGCAAAAAGCCGAAATCTCATTAGAAATTTGTACACAAGGTAACAACAGCATGCCCTGGAACTGAGAGTAGGGCCACCCCTGGGGCCTCAGACCGGAAGCAGGGGCCGTCTTCATCCGAGGGGTAATTGTCAAATGCAAAGAACCACAGTGGCAAAAACAAGCAGGAAAGGCGTATTAGGCTCACGTATCTTTAGG